TGCATGTTGTAACCTTTGCCAGAATTCAAAGCATTGAAGGAAACCAGAGTTATTATTACTGGGATACCAGGAACAAACCTCCACCTAAAGAACTTTATTGAATTTTTGCGGAATTGACACGCCTGACTAAAGGAAGTTATCTTAAAATCACCCAGTTTTATGTGCAACAGCAGAAGGAGAACGAATGCCTTCCCCTTGCCAGTGCACTTATGTTTGAATTTGCGGCAGAAAGGGATGTCAGAACGGTTAATTTCGTCTTAGAAACCGGTGCGGAAGAGCTGTTATTGGCTTATAGAACGAAAGAACCTCCCCAATTTTTGTACAGCCCGGATAACACGAGGCCATTGAGAGATTTGACGAAAGTACATACCGTAAAAGTGCAATGACGCTTAAAGTCACTAATCTCGCTTACTGTGTCTGTGTAATTAGTTGAACCCACGCTACTGGTCTTTTGGTATTCCAAGAGACTTCCGGGCAGCTATTCTCATGGGCAAGGCCTGGCACCTGGGAATGTGACGATTCCCCCAAGCAAGATTCCCGATGTTTGCGTATTTCGTTGAGAACAAGCTTTTGATGTTTAAGGTTAGTGTGAAGCCTATTTTAATCAACTTCAAAGCTGCACAGTGAACTGAAGCATATCTGCCGTGACGCGGTTATACTGTGCACCGGCTTAGCCGTTAGGCTTAATCGTACCTAGATCGACACTTGAGTTGTAAGTTTGGTATTGCAGGACTCTCTCAGTAACGCCCGGTACGTCGGAAGGGCTCGGGACGCAGAAAAAATTGCTTTGGCAGGTCACACTATCGACCGGGAGTTCCAGTTTATGCTGAGACATTCGCGGAACGGGCCAGGGCGTGCTGTGTTGTCTCACCAGGGGAGTGTCTCTACCCGACGAAGAGGACATTCGTCTCTCGCACCATCCGAAAGAACATCTGGCCAAAAGCGCAAACGGCAGCGGATTAGCGGAATTGGCATCATTGATGAAGATGTGGGTGCTATTCAAGCTGATCCACGAGAATTGGACACTGTTATTGAAGCAGACGAGTGCGAGTCTTCTACAATGGCAGAAGGCACCGTCATCAGTGATGTGAGTGCTGAAACTCGGACTTCGCATGGGGAAGGCTCGTCTCCAGCGCGTTCCCAAAGGGCAACTTCGCCGGCACCTGCCCGCTTCATCGGTATATTTAGTTCTGCTTTCGATATGGCACCAGCTCCCTGCCTCAATGATGTCAACCCGTTCGGGCAGCAGACCAGCAGAACTGGCGGCGATGGATACATCGATGATCGAGCACCCGATTCTGCGCAGTGGAACTTACCGCCGGTTGTCCATGAAGTCATATTGGGCTCGGAAGGAGCTGTAATTCAGCCCGTGATGCCGTCCCTGCCAGCTGCAGAAGCATCTACCACTAATACTGAGGGTCCGACTGAGCCTCTCCCATGGCGCTCGCGTCGTGGAAGTTCCGAAGATTCCGAAGATTCCGAAGATTCCGAAAGTTGTGATGAGACTAGCGGATCTGATGCATGGTTTTGTAATGCTTCGAATGGTTTTGTAAGTAATAAATGCCTTTCATCGGACCCTTTCTTTTTTTTCCGTCTTCTAAGTTCTGCTCCATTTTTTTTCTTCTAACGTCCAGAGAACGAACTATCTGCAGTCCAACCATACGGTTTAAAGGGCGAAGCTTCACGCCTTCTAGGAAGGGAACAGTTTCTCCGTTTTATAGGCGCTTGCGAGCTTTTTCGTAGGCTTTGGGATCTACTGGCTCTACATCCACGACGAAAGCTCCGATTGCGATAACCTTGGCTGACTCAAACTCAGCAGTTATACGGGATTTGTACCTGTGGTATTCCCGCGCCTTTTTATTGACGAAACGGAAAGGTTTCGCCATGACAAGATCACTGAAGAAGACGTCGAAGGTCTCAAACGGCTGCAAACAAACCATATGGCTCACAAACACACACACAACCATACGCACACAAACACAAACGGCAATTTCACCTTTCGTTCGAACTGATACAATTCTTGTTTGGATTTCATGAAGTCTTCATCACCATTGCCGTCCCCTGCGTCCGGATAGCTAGGATCAGCTTCAATGTCGTCCTCATCGGATTCAGCAATATACTTGCGCTTCAAAGCTTTCTTCGTGCGCGTACCAGTGGTCTCCTGCTTCTTAGTGACTTTGGAATCCTTTCCCCTCCCCGCCTTGCTGGCTGCCTGTGCCTTTTTCGTCCTGCTCGCACGATCGCGGTTCGTCGCCTTCGGTTTCATTGGAGCTTTACCCATTGTGCCAAACGATCATCAGAGATCGTAGTCAAAGGAATCTCAAAACTGAAATTCTGACAATTTTTAATAACACTTTAAGTGAGACGAACTTGAAACTGTACCGTGCAACGGCTGGACAGATCGGTTTCGTGTCACGACAGCGAGCGTGTCAAAGCATGCCTGTACTACTGTGGTGCCAAGTCGAAACAGCACCCGCCCGTACAGTGAGTTACATGCTAAACCGATACGACTCATAGTACTTCCTGCACCCGCACTACTGCGCTGCACATTGTGCGGTCTGAAAATGAGAACTTTCAGTTGGCATGTTTCAAGTCTCTGCACGTGGAGCCTAAGCAGTTCATAAGAAGCCATTTTTTGCGCTCTAGATTTTCAACCGTGTAGACATGTCTGGCCAACAAGAACCGCCTCGTCCCTGCCCTGGAAGAATGATTAACAAGATCAAACGGGAGATGCTGGAGCGGGAGAGCTCACCGAGGAGACATATGCCTATTGGCCAGGGCCGATGAAAACGAAAGCGGAACGAATGATTTATGTTCCGCCTGAGGAGTACGTTCCGGATACTTCCCCGGAAGATACTTCCTCGGAAGGAACGACTTCCCCAGGACGCGATCAAGGTATGCTTCGGGAACAGTAAAGTCAAGATGTTTTCTGTTTCTGGTTTGTTGTGGTGTGTTTGGGGTGCCCCTGGCAGGGGCAGGCAGGAAGCGAGCACAGTGCAAGGCAATTCGTTAACGGTGAATTCTGTCTAGATACCGGCACTGCGAAAAAGAGGCGTGCTGAAGCGAAAGCAGGACGCGGGCGCACTAAAGGCTCTGGAGGAGGTATGAGCTCGGATGTGTTCCTGTTTCTGGTTTGTTGTGGTTTTTGGGGGTGCCCCTGGCAGGGGCAGGCAGGCACGTGTTCTAAGTGTTCTAACGTTGAAAGTGTACATGTTGTCTTCTAACGTTTGTCTCCTGCACATTAACTACTTATATTGACTTCTTTTTTTTAGGTGCCGGTGTCATCAAGAAAAAGAGTGAGTATTTAAATTACTGATTGTAGCATATGAGGCCGCATTCGAGCCGTGCAGTTTTGAACGTTTGAGTCTCTGTATAGCTGTCGGTACTGGTAAGCGCGGCCGTCCTCCCGGAAGCGGCAAGAAATCAGTAAAGTCACTGTCATCTGGACGCGGTCGTGGACGTCCTCTGGGAAGCGCCAAGATTCCACATGGTATGGAGCGCTTTGCAGGTGCAGCTGCAAAATTTGTATACAGTAGTGGTGTTTATTTTGTAGAAAAACGTGGACGTTCCGAGAAGAACGCTGCTACGCAAGAGGGAACTGGGTGAAGATTACCTACATCAGCACGGGCATATTTTGTGTTGTATTCGGTATGATGCTTTTCTTATGTTTAAATCGTATTCCCATGTTTATAAGCGGTCGTGATGATGTTTTTGAGGTTTTAAACAAACGACTTCGTCAGCTGCACTGTCAGTGATGTGTTGAAATGATGTACTGCGTAATTTTGGTTTTAACCTATGTTAATTGCGAATCACACAATTAAAGCGAGCTGAGTCTATAAGAGATAAAATTCTAAAAGACACAAGTGTAGATCTCCGACAAAACTGTAGGTTTTACATAATTCGTCACGGTCAGAAACCACCGTCTCACGGTTACAAATTGAGTTGGCGACTTCTGTCGCGATCCCTGTCGTCTGTCAGCAGTTGACGTGAGCAAATGGTTCATCAATGATTTCCTGCGTCACTGCATTGGGTTACGACTGTTTACCGTAGTACCGTAGCGCCGTAGACGACTGATAACCGTAACACCGCAGCACGGTTCTTTATCTTAGCACGTTAAAATATCGTAAGCTCGCTCGGAAGAGGTCGGGTGCGCTTGGTAAACCAGTTCAAGTTTGCGAGCGGTGTAAATTTTTGCAGAGTAGTATTAGCAATCGCTTTTGGTCCGTGTACGTCTTTTAATAATTTCTATCCAATTTCTTAGCAGTAATCAGTAAACTGCTAAGGACCGGGTCACAGTCAATGCATAAGCAAAGCCGGTTCACGATCAACATCCCTGCTAACCGGGACACGGTTGTCTGTTTATTTGATGCAAATAGAACGCCAGGCCAGCATATCTAAAGGTTGCGATCATAGGTAAAGTGCATACAATTCAATTTGTATATGTTGAAGCCGAGTAACCAAACGCGGCTAACAATGTCGAAAGTGCGTGCGAGCCCCTTTAAGACGAGTACGCGCACAGCGCATCCACTTTTCTCTTGCAAATAAATTACTCTTTGGACTAATGCGATAAAGCATATTGCTTACGCTGATATTAACCGTGTCACGGCAATGTTTAAACTGACCGGGCCACGGTTAGTTGCTTTGTACCCAAATAGTGGATAATTGAGACATATATCCAAAGGCGTGAAGACTTTGTTTGGTTTGGGCTTGATGCAAAGGATTTTTGTGATTAGTGGCGGAATTTCGCGAGCATCGAAATCCTGATCATTGGCTTTCATGTTGTAACCTGTGCCAGAATCCTAAGCATTTGCACGTACGATCCGGGTCGATTGAAGCACAATGCACGTCAGGACAATGCAAGGATGCAGTGAGATGACACTTTATTTAGACAAAGTCATCGAGCACTAAAACACTGCAGTCATACATCATCTGTAAACACTAAAACATTCATTTATAGAAACCTTAAGGAGATAGAACATGACACAAACAAATATGATATGCGGTCATCCTAGATACCGAATACCAATAATGCTAAGCCGAACAGCAGTATCTGCACAGGTTTGTCAAATCCGCTTTTTCCTCGCAGAATTTGGAACTGCTTTAACGAGACGGATTCGCGGGTCTGGTAGACGGCTTTGTATTCGGCTTTGTAGGCGTAAAGCAAGCCGGCGATCGTTGAGCCAATTCTGCCAACGGCTTCCGCTGCTTTGTTGGAGCTGACATCGATAAACAGGGAACCCGCATTCTTTCTTCTGAACTAACGTTATCCTGATCGCCGTACGATTTGCCTTCCGTACCCGACTCGTCAAGAGCATCCACCATTGATCGCTTCTGTATATCAGAAATTCAACTTAAAGGATTTCCAAGTACGTAACCGTACCTGTACCTTGAAGTTACGCGCGGAAATAGCCGGAGTAGCGGCCACATCATCAGAAGGCCGAAGCGCCGGCTGAGAGCCTTTGGCTTTCTGCATTTAAGAGAGAAAACCCACCAATATTAACACTACATTAAACAAGCTGAGACCGTGACATTAAACACACTGAGACCGTGATATGTTTAAATCGAATTCCTATGTTTATAAGCGGTCATGATGATGATATTTTTTAGTTTTAAAGCAGATGGCTGTATTCAGCACTGCGCAGCACTAATGTGCTGAGATGGCAAATTATACTGCAGTGTTGTTTACCTAAAACGACACTGTTAAAGAACACCGTGTCGCGGTTAAAGTGATATTAGTGTGAACGTGTCACGGTTATACGTGATATACAGGACGGTTATACGTGACCATCCCAAATATCCTTTTATGCGGCATTCGCCAAATAAATGGCCTTCTGATTCTCTTCATGCGGCTAATATAGTCCTTGAAGGGGACCAACTAGTCACCGTTGTTCTTCGCACACTGATCTTAAAACTTCTTATACTGATCCGAACAACTTGACACACTTCACCGTGCACAATATCACCCATGATTTAAACGTGGCACGAATTTTGGGTGAAAATGATTTTAACTGTGACACGGTTGACTAACTGACCGCAATACTCGTCAGCATTATCAGAAAATTTCCTCGAGCACAACACAGCATAGACTGATTTCTGACTTTGCTTAATGAAACAGAATGTGCTAATGTAGGCCGCCAATGTAAATATGAAATCACATAATAGTTAAAAATGTAAAATAATAAAAAGAAAAGTCATTTGGAAAATTGCGTTTTAGTATGGAATTGAATCTCCGACGTTCAACTACGCTAGCGAAGCCTGCTACGCAAAAGTTTAAATAACCGCCGAAGACGCTAGTGTGTACTGCAAACTCTGTGTACCGGCTGCCCGCCCAATACGAATACTACTGAAATTCAGAAGGGGGGAGATTGTGCTGATTATTTTGACGTGTATTATTTAAGTTTTTCCATTTGAGTCTAGTTTTTGCAAATAACACGTACTGCATGGTTCCAACAAGTCAGAAAATTTCGTTTTTGTTTTCCGTGCGCCATAATATGGAATCGACGAACCCAGATCGTCAGGAGCTTCGCTCTATTATCAATGCCAGCGCCTATCGTGAAACAAGTTCTCGTTCGCACTTTCGAAAAGACCAGGTCCAACTTTTGCAGCAATTTTTTAAAATATGCCGCCGTCCCAACTACAATCAGCGGCTGGCAATAGCCGAAAAAATTGGTATTAAAGGATCGGAAAACCGAGTTCAAGTCTGGTTTAAGAATCGTCGATCAAAAACACCAGGAAGATGGCCCTGCCAACTTTCAGGACCTGTTTACGGGGTCTCTCCCATCCGTCATTTCTACTCCTCCTACGATAGTCCCTAACCGCATGGATTTGGGGCAGCCAGGTACTAGCGGACTACAGCCAAAGGAACCAGACACTGACCGACAACAGTCCATAGAATCGGATGACGACATTATGTTGAAGCTCGAACTGCGAAAAGATTTAACGTAAAGACAGAATTTTGCGTTTTATTTACGTAGTCCGTATTCAATGATGGCAGTCATACTGCTGGAAGTGCTACTCGGACAATTGCGGAGCTGACTGATGTTGCAGGAATGTGTCTGGACTCGGGAATTTTAGTCAAAGCCTGATGGAGAAGCTGAAAATGGTAGACAATTTTTTTTCCTCTTAGATATGCATGTTATTTGGCAAAGTATGACGTTTTCTTCGCAGTGTAGGTTACTGTATATAGGTATCGTTTGCAGTTTAATAAACTGTAGTGTATTGAGTTTTGACTGCTGATGGTTTTAATTGCAGAAGGAAATGGAACCTACAGTACTTACGCTGGCATTGGATCCTTCTGATGTTGATCTGATAGAGCATGACGAACTGATAGAGCATGACCGTTTAAATAAGGTATCAAATTTTTTGGTCGACCTGTGGACGTACGTATTGGATTTTCACAAAAGTTGAGTTTCTGAAGTTGTTTCCTTGTATCATGCAGAAGGATGCGTTACATGCAGTTCCGTAACTGTTTCTTGTTTTGTAACAGGTGGACGGCTTTTATACTCTGCAGTATTCGATTGTCCCGGGTGAAATAAAACACATCGCCGACAATCAGACCTTCCTTAAACTGATGCTTCAAAAACATGATGACCGGCCCACCAGTTCGCAACGCAGTAATCTGGTTGTCACTTCGCAGCTGCTTGCAGCGGATAAATCACCCCGTGAAATGGGTCCTCTTTCACCCGATATTCCGAATGGATCTGCAACTACCGCTGCCGGCCCTCTCATACCTGAGTTTCTGCAAGAAGCTATTATCATCGGCCCTGATGTTGTACCTGGAATTCCACCGGTATCTGTGATTGCAGGTTAGTGTATAATTGAATCTTTTTAATTTTGACGGGAATGTAACGTACGTTACTGCAGTGATTTCGATTACTTTTTTATACTAATTTAGGATACCCATTCATAATTCATAAAAGAGAAAGCTTCAAATTAATTACCGCGGATTACCTTCATTACCTGATTTAGGAGACTTATCAAAGACTGAAGCACGCATTGCACCATTAAATATGCGGACCGCACTGGATCTCCCGCATTGCTCCATTACCTACCCGCCAGTAAATGGACTGCTGAATAAATTTGCCAACGAGCGCAACCTCAACACATCGGATAAGCCGTACTCTGAGGCGAAGAAGAATCGTGAATCTGTGTTCTGGACTACTTCTTCGCGGCAGCTATTGTTAATGTCCGAGCTTGTCACTGGCCATGAGCAGGTTACATTCATATTTGAGCCCCTTGGCGATGAGAGAGTTCTTTCTGTGACCGTGAAAAATAGCTCTATTTAATTTATCATTTGTTTGTTTTTTTATTGTCTGGCAGTGCGACCTCCATGATGATGTTATGATCTATTTAATTCGAAAGATTTTTTATTGATATCCTGTGATCAAATAAGTCATTGTGATCATTATTTTTTCCCTCTGTATTTCAGTTTATGGTGTTGGGATCATTTCATAACATTTTGAGGTTTTTTGACCTGACGATGTTTTTAATGTTTGACCTGATGATGCTCAATCATGAGGATTTCTGCATGGAGCGGAAATGAAAAACGGCGAATGGAATATCGAGTTTGTAGTTTTTGTAAATTAACGTAGTAGAAAGGCAATTAGCGGGTGCACGATTGTAACATAGCCACACTACACGTGTCATCTAGTTTCCAGATCTTAAGAAACTGAAGTTATATGGGGTGCAATATGGCCGCAATTGGTGAAGCCGGGTCATGTCACCGGTCGTGTCACCGGGTCACGGTTATACGTGATATACGGGACGGATATACGTGACCGTCCCATATATCCCTTTATACTGATTCTCTTCATGCGGCTAATATAGTCCTTGA